GGCAAATTTCAAACCCCCTTTCATTTGTTAGAAGAAGGGCATATTTCAAGCAAGGTAATGACTGCTTTACCAAGAGAGCCGGGAAAGAAAAAGGTCGAGAACTTTCTTTCACCGTGATCCACATTAAATTAAAACATTTCTGTATGCATTCTTGGGTGAGTTATACTGCAGAGACCCCAGAGTCTTCGTGGCCAACATAAGGGTTTATTTCTCTCAAATCGCCTGCCCTTTGTGGGTTAGCTCCACATCGTATTCATTCCAGGAGCCACGGTGCAGGAGCAGCCCCTACTTGGTACAAGTGTTTTTGTGACAGAAGGAAAAAAGAAATAGCAGAACACAAGACGGCTTTGAGACTTCTCTTTGGACACCCATCACTTTCATATATGGCTTTCACTGGCATTCAATTGGCCCAAGCCTGACATCAATGGGCCAATGGGCAGGGAGATAGGACCCTCTCCCAGGGAGGGGGAAAAATCATTAGAAACAGTGAAACCTGTTACAGCCCACACCCTTGCTCGCAAATATTCATTTTCCTCCCTTTAGCCACAAAATAGATTCATCCCTACCCAAGAGAAACGCTCAAAAATCCCGTCCAATTACAATACGTAAGACTCAAGATACTAGGGGCAGCTGGGTGGCTCAGTTGGTGAAGCGTTCGACTCTGGATTTCGGCTCAAGTCACGATCTGAAAGTTTGTGGGATCAAGCCCCACATCAGTCTCTGCACTGACAGTGTGGAGTCTGCTTGGGATTCTCTCTCCCTCTCCCTCCCTCTCTGCCCGTCTCTGTCTCTTGATAAATAAAATAAATGAACAAAAAGACTCAAGGTCTAGACCCTGATGATATACACTAAATCTGGGTATGGTCCCTCCTGATCTGGAGACATATGGATTAAAAAAAACAAATCCCTCTCCCCTCGCCCCCAACACACTCAACATATAAGGGTGGAACAGACTCGGGTTAACCACCCAAAACAATCCCATCCAGAAAGAAAGAAGAAAACAGTGGAAGACACATAGCAGTCAAAAGCTTAGAGCAATTCTAAAATCTTGCCATACAGACTTTGGGGTGAGGAATATTCCTTGATTAGATCCTGGTTCTGGGGCGCCTGGGTGGCGCAGTCGGTTAAGCGTCCGACTTCAGCCAGGTCACGATCTCATGGTCCGTGAGTTCGAGCCCCGCGTCAGGCTCTGGGCCGATGGCTCAGAGCCTGGAGCCTGTTTCCGATTCTGTGTCTCCCTCTCTCTCTGCCCCTCCCCCGTTCATGCTCTGTCTCTCTCTGTCCCAAAAATAAATAAAAACGTTGAAAAAAAAATTAAAAAAAAAA